GTGATTCCCATCCTCCTCATCCCATCCCTCTCATCCCATCCCAGTGCCTGTGTACATGATCCCATGCTATCCTTGTCCAGCCCTCTCATCCCATCCCAGGGACTCTGTATGTGTATGATTCCTATTCCATCCCAGTGTTTGTAATGCTGATGCCATCCTATCCCAGGGGGATTCCCATCCTGCTGATCCCATCCCATCCCTCCTGTTGCTGCTGTGGGAACCACTGTGCTGCACTGGAGCTGACAATGGCCATGCTCGTCTCCCAGCTCTCTCCCTCCCCTTACCCTCATTTCCACCTCTGCCATTCCCACCCCCCAAACCTGATCCCATCCCATTCCTGGTGGGAATCTCACAGCACTCGGTGCCCCTGATGGGGTCAGGCAGGCCAGTGCAGAGTCCAGGCGTGTGTGGCACAGCCACCCTCCATCGTGAGCCTGAGCTGTCACATGCTGTGTACTCGTAGTGGTACTCGGACTGCAGGAGACAGAGAGGGAGCACAGGCAGAAGCTGCACCCTCAGACCCCCTGGTCTTCCCCCATACCCTGTGCCCCCCCTCCCCTGGGCCCAACTGTGACTTGAAGGGATGGTTTGGTTAAGGTGTAGCAATGTCCCACCATGCCCAGCTCTCAGTGAGGGGGAGTTGGGAGGGTGCTCAGGGTGGGGGGATACTGGGTTCAGTGTGGGGGGATGCTGAGAAATGGAGGTGATCTGTGTGGGAGATGGTTTGGATTGAGGAAGATGCTGAGAGTGAGGGGGTATTGTGGCTGGGGAAGGCTCAATATGGGGAGATGCTGGTAAATGACAGTGCTCTGGGTTGGGGGTGCTGGGGCAGGGGTGCCCAGGGTGGGGGAATGCTGGGGGTGAGGAGTTGTCTGGCTGGGGGGCCGCTGCAGGCAGCATTTCAGGTAGCATGACCCACCCCCTCAGGACATGCTCCCTCAGAGAATGCTGTGGGGTTGCCCACAGCCCATGGAATGAGATAGCCTCAGAGCAGCGACAACCCTGCATCCCCTCCCCAGGGTGGGAATGAACCCCCACGCCCCCGCCAAGTTCCTGGGAGCGCATGGTGCTGTCATGCCCTTCCACGTGCCTCGGCATGGTCTGGGTAAGGTGACACACTTTGCTCATCAAACAGCGGCGGCACAACCCAGATAGGGCGTGGGAGCACCCTGAGGATGGAGAGCAGGGGAGACCAGGGGGAACCAGGAAGCGCTCGGGACAGCAGGGGCACCGTGACCCTCCCATCCCAGCAAGATGGGACTGACTCAAGGCTGGTGAGGTGATGCCAGGGACAGACAGCGTGGGCACGGTAAAGGCCATGTCTGGTAGTGGTGCTGGGGTTTGGGGTACAGGTGGGAGCTTTGTACCCACCCCCCCAGCAGCTCTGAGGTGTCAGAGCTGGCGCTGTGGCTTTGTGCTCCCAGTGGCTGCTGGAGCATGGCAGGTTGATGGGAAAACAACCACTTTGATGTTCTCGTCAGCTGGAGATGTGGAGATGGGGGGAAAGATGGGGATGAGAAGGGAGGGGGGGTGGAGGGGAAAGGGGGATTGGAGAGTTGGAAGGAAAAGGGGGGACAGAGATGCGCCTGCAGCACCCCCTGCCCATGTACAGGCAGCACTAAACCCCCCTGGCCCTCGGATGGGAATGCAGAGGAAGGTCCCCATTACCCTGGGGGTACCCAGAGGGTCACCCGAACTTTCAGCAGCCCCAAACTACCACATTGCTCTCGGTCCTGACGAATTCCTTTGGGGAGAGGGTATTTTTTTCTCTTTTCCTGAACTTTCCCAGGTTTTTATTAAATCTCAGTAAACTGACCTAATTTAGCCCCAGGGTGGTTCTGTGGGTGGAGCGGGGCACCCCAAACTGCCACTGTCACCCTCCTATGGACAGGGGAGAGAGGATTGTCCCTAGTGAAGGACAGGGGACACTCCCTCTGGGGACCAATCCCTCCTGGGGCAGGTGCCAGCCTCAGTCTATTGTTTCCAGCTCCGGATCATAGAACACAGACAAAAAAACTGGATCACGGCAAAAAAAAATTCCTGGCCCAGATTAAAAGCAGCCGCAGGTCTAAAGAGGGGGGAGGAATATTGGGGGGGGGGGGAGATGAGGGAGGGCATTTGGGGGTTCACCTGCTGTCCCCAAGGCGGACAGATCCTGGTGACAGACATCCTCCCACCCMCTCCCCCCCAGATTTTCTTCAGGGGACACTTTGGCCACCGCATCACCGCATGCTGGGCTAGGAATGGCACGTGGCCATTCGGAATGTCCCCCACCCTCGTTGTCACCACCCCAGCAGCATTCAGGGAGGGTTTGGGGAGACCCCCAATGTGTCTGAGGGGTAGGGAGTTGGGGACAATGATGGGGTGATGCCAGTTGGGGTCCCCAAGGAGACTCTCGGGGACTGGCTGAGCCCCTGGGTGCAAAGCCTGTTCCCCGGGCCCCCAGAGGTCGGCCAGTCCCTCCCCGCTACTGGGGACACCCCACCCCGGGATCCGCGGCCCCCACTTGYCCCTTCCTTGTCCCCCCTCCTTCGAATCCCCATCCCACAGGGACCGGCCTTCCCGTGCTCCGGGAATCCGTTTTATCTCCGGACTGTGTGTGGGGAATTTGGAAGGGGAGGATGGGTTACCGGTTGCCCCCTCCCGCCATTCCTGCTGCCGGTACCTCCTTGCAGACGTGTAGTTGCTCCTCGGCGCGTCCTGGTGACACAGTGACAGCCAGACACAGCGCCAGCGGCATCCACCGGGCTCCGGTACCGGCCATGGCGGCGGCAACGGCGGCGGCAACGGCGGCGGCTCGGCCCGTGCGGGCACCGGCGCCGCGGCCCCGCCCCCGCTAACGGCCCGGCCCCCGCGCACCTGCCGCCACCTGCCCCCATCCCCGGGAAAGGGAACGACACCCAGCATCGCTCCCGGGAACGGGCACCCGGAGAGGAACCTCCGGGAACGGCACGAGGCATCGCCCCAGGGAACGGGCACTGGATCGCGAATAGACCCCCCGGGAATGGCATCCAGCATCGCCTCCGGGAACGTTTGCCATGAGAACGGCGCCGGGAATCGTCATCGGGAATGTTGTTCACGGGAATGGCACCGCGCATCGGTATCGGGAATAGAACTCCCGGGAACGGCACCGGCAAGGTTATGTCCGGGAATGGAACCGGGAACAAGACCCCGAGAACGGCACCAGAAGCGTCGTCCATGAGAACGGCATCGGGAGCCCCATCATCCCTGGGAATCTATCCCCGGAAACGGGACTGGGAATCCCCGGAACGTATCCCCAGGAACGGCATCGGGAATGTACCCCTGGGAACGGAATCGGGTTTCTCCAGGAACGGCACCGGGACCGTCACGGGACATCACGTCCCTGCCTCTCCGTCCCCGGCAACAGCCCCTCCTTCCGCCCCGCGGGGCTGGGACACGGCCGGGAGGGTTATGAGCCCTCCACACTCCGGAGCCACGCCCATCCCACGGGATCTGTGTCCAGCCGTGTGCCCCCCCCCCCCCCCCCCCCCGGCCATGTTCCCACGGAGCCGGGCCAGTTCCAGTGCACTGGGAACAGGACAGGGGCTGTGTTCTGGACATCAGAGACATAAGGGTCATAGAAGGTACAAGGATACAGGGACACAGGGAGATGGGGGACACAGAGGGACAACGGGAATACAAGGAATATGGGAACATGGGGGACACAGAAGGACATAGGGGACAGAGGTGATATCGGAACATGAGGGTATGAGGGTCACAGAGGGACACTGGGCATACAGCTGATATGGGAACACAGGGAGATGGAGAACACATGGGGATATGAAGGATACAGGCGATATGGGAACATGAAGAACATGGAAGACACAGCTGATATGGGGACATGGGCAATATAGAGACATGGGCTATATAGTCACAAGCGGACACAGGGGAACACAGAAGGACATGAGGGACACAAGGAGACAGGGAACATGGACACATAGGGGACAGAGTTGCTATGGCGACACAGATGTCCCAACTCTGGTGGCACAGGGACACCCTGTGGGTTGGGGGACACTGACAACACTTGTCCATCTGTGGTGGCACAGGGATATCAGCAGGTACCACGGGCACAGGGGACACAGGCACAACAAGGGGACATGCCTGTCCCCATGGCAGGATGTGGACAACCCCACGTTCTACTGTGCCACAGCTGGAGACAGTGGCCTGGGCTGGCCATACCCCATGGCATCTCCAGTGTCACCTTGGCAGATGGAGCCCACCAGGCACCATTGAGCTGGTAACCCCACCCCTCGGAGTATACCCATAGCAGGGCCACCAACAGCAGCCACTGCTCCTCCCAGTAGTGCCAGCATCAGTGTTGTCCCCTCATCACCACCATGGCCTTGCCACCACTACAGTTGTTCTTTTGTGCCCATCCTCTTGTCACCATTGTGCTACCCCTCGGCCACCACCCTACTGTCCCCGTGTCACCATGGCCATTCTCTTGCTACCACCACAGTTGTCCTCCTGTTATCACCATGACCATCCCCTCATTACCAGCACAACTGTCCTTGTTTCCACGGGGGCTGACCACTCGTTAGCACTAAGGCTATCCCCCAGTCACCACGATTACCCTCTTGTGGCCATCCTCTTGTCACCACCATTGCTGCCCCCAACATCGCACACACACAATAAAACACAGAGGCCACACTCGTGTCACATTCCACGTGTTGCAAGGAACTCACAGGTCTTGTGAGAAACCCCAGTGCCCCGCGGGGCTAGCAATGCCCATGCCCAGCTCACACGTGGCATGGCACCAACATCGCCCTGCGCAGAGCCTTTCTGCCCCCTACGACTGCAGGACGCGGTTAACGACTGCCTGCGTGGCACAGCCCGCTGCAAAGCTCGCACGGAGCCTGGCCCACTTCCCGCCTCCCCACGTCGCCCGGTGCAACCCAGGCCGGGACGAAGCCTGGGCGTTTCGTCTCCCGTTGCTGTCGGGGCCGGGCCGGTACCGACCCCGGGCTGCGTACATGGGCTCGGGTCAGAATCGCAGGGCGCTCAGCGGCCGCGGCCTCGCCTATCTGATCGACTCATCCCGCCCGGCCCAGCCGCACAGTGCCCGGGGGCTTCGCGGCGCCTTCTTCTCACCTCGGCCCGGCGGGGCCCGGCCGATCGAATAAGATCAACGTGTAGGGGGAGGGTGCTGGCGCCTTACACATACACACCCCTGACACACTAGCATGGGCCTTGCATACTCATACACTCACACTCACACACACACACGAAAGCGCACAGACACACATGCACACACACGAACACGCCACCGTCACTCCCCACACGCACTTCCGGTCCCACTCCTTATATACCGTGGCCGCGCAGGGGATGACGGAAAGGCTGAGCGGCGCTCCCGTGCGCCCTCTGCAGCGCGGAGGACCGCCCTGCATCACGTCCCCCGAGCTCGCACACGGCACAGGAATGGGGGGCTGGGCACACTCACCTGGGGGAGGGCACAGCCCCCCCGTGCCCCTCACTGAGGGGTGGCAGCACTACCGGCCCCAGAGGGCTGGAGGAACCGGGCCAGGAAGCCCCATACAGCAATTCCCCACCCCACAGCCCACCCCGGACAGGGTGCCCACTGGGGAGCCCACACTTAATTTGCACAAATCCCCCCCCCAGCCCAGGACCCCATAACCATGGGAACCCTCCACCCCATAGAAGCCAAACCCCAAGGACGTTCTCACATGCACACCATGGAACCCCTACCACACCACAAGACTCCCACCCCTCCCGCCCCACAGAATGCCCCCTTTCCCACAGGAACCCCCATCCCATAGCAAACAGCCCCACAGCACTCCGCTGCCCAATGGGACCCCCAGATAGGACATCAACCCCACAGGACCCACCCAAAACCCCACAGGAGGCACACCCACCCCACAGGATCCTCAGGCCAGTGCTGCCACAGGGGAACCCCCACTTTATTTCCATGTGGTGGTCCAGTATTTACAACCCAGGGGGTGTCACAACCCCTCACTGCAGGGGGATTCCCTTCCAAGGGTCCCCACGCTCCAGGAGTGTGGGAAGATCCCACTGATGAGGGGGGACCCTGCCCAGTCTCCACAGCCTGCCATGATCCCACCAGGACCCTGCTCAGCGTGAAGAGAAGGGGCTCATGGGGCCCAACTGGGTCCCCCAGCCGCGGGTTCACAGGAAATCCTTTTCCAACAGTCTAAAGGTGCCCTGGTGGCCCCAACAGTTGCCTTCGGTGGTGTCAGGGAGGGTAATGGGACATGACAGTGCCCGGGTTGTCACAAGCAAGATCCAGGCTGCTGCCAGGGACAGGACTGGGGGAAGGTGTTCAGGGTCAGTACCAGGGTCTCCAGCACTGGGGTCTCTGGTTGGTACTGGGACACAGGGATCAGTACCATACTAGGGTCTCTAGAATCAGCTGCAGGATCTCTAGTCAGTCCCAGGGTTTCTCTCAGGTTAATGGAGGGTCCCCATGTGGTCACTTCCCCACAAGGACGTAGAAGGCCATGAGGAGACAGGACACAGACACAGCCACGTGCAGACGGGTCCCGATTACAGCAGCTGTGGGTTGGATGAGGTGGGGTGAGACACTGTGTCCCCATCTCGGATCCATCCTGCATCCCTGTGTGCCCATCCCAGATCCCATGTTACCATCCCGGAYCCCCTGTTCACATCCCAGACCCCAGGACTCCCATCCCAAATCCCCGTGTCCCCATCTCAGAAGCCAGTGTCACCAACACCCCTGTCCCAGGCCCTAGACCCCAGCATCCCCACCCCAGACCCCAGGGTTCCCAATATTCCCATCCTGTACCCATGTTTTCCCAGTATCCCATCCCAGGCCCCAGTGCTTCCAGTGCCCCCACCACATACACCAGCGCCCTCAGCGTTCCCAATGCCTCCATCCTACGTCCCAGTGCTCTCAGCATCACAGTGCTCCTAATGCCCCTCCTCTCTACCCGTGTCCCCAGTGCCCCCATTTCAGTGCTCCCAGCACTCCCCCGCCATACCCCAGCGTCCCCAGAGCCCCTCACCCTTGTGGCAGACTCCCCAGACACCCCTGCGCTCAGACAGGAGCCAGGTACGCAGCCGGGGCACCTTCCGCAGGTACGCGCAAGTACAAACCAGGAGCAGCCCGAACACCAGGAGCCCGTCCAGGGAGTAAACTGCAAGGAGGGGGGGCGGGAGGCAGGGGTCAGGGGGCACTCCAGGCCCCTGCCCAGCTCCCCTCCAAAGGGGATCCCCCGCTCCGTGGGAACAACCTCCCAGCTATGCCCCTACGGGAGGATGAAAACTTCCAAGTACCCCCCTGAAAAGGGACACAGATTTCCCAGTATCCTCCCCGAAGACACTCAGACCTCCCGGTACCCCGCACCCAAAGGAATACAGTCTCCCAGTCGTCTCCCAAAGGCTCACCCCAGTACCTCCCCCACCTCAGCCGCCCCGCCAGCCCCATCTCCCCCGCCGCTCCCCGCTATCTCAGTGCTCCCCACACCGTGCCCCATCAGCCCTCCCCGCCTTCGGAACCCTCAGAGGCTCCCGTTACCCCACGTTGGTCTTGGAGGCCCCGGATCCACTCGGACCCGCCCAGACTCCCCGGGCCCCTCCGTTTCCCAGTTCCCACCATTGGTCATGGCGGTCCCCGAACCCTCCCGTCCCCCCACAACCCCTTGCCCCCCCGTTCCCACCACTGGTCATGCCGGAGCCGGGCTCCCTCCAGGCCCCCCTCGGTAGCCCTTGACCCCCCAGCTCCCCGTTCCCACCGTTGGTCATGGCGCCCCAGGCCCCCACGGCGCCAACGCCACAGCGGAAGCGGGCGGCAGGCGCCGCCAGCCGAGCGCCGACCCGCCCGGCGCCGATCCTGAGGAGCAGGCAGCCTCAATGGAGAGCCTATTGAGGCGGGTGGGATGTGCCGGGCCAATTCCCTGCAGTGCCCGCTCGCTCGGTAACTCGAGCGCTGCTAACGCACAGTATACTCAGGAGCTGCCGTTGCGCTCACCCATGCGTGACCAGTCCCCATTACAGTCCCTCAGTGACCCCTCAGTATCCCCAGTAACCCCCGAAGACTCCCAGTAGTCTCCAGTTCTCCCAGTAACCCCCAGTGCAGCAAGTCCCCGTCCCAGTGTCCCACTAACCCTCCTGTGCTCTCAGGAGCTCCCAATACTCTCAGCAACCCCTCAGCGCACCCAGTCCCCATTCCAGTCCTCCCAGTAACTCCCCAATGCAACCAGATCCCAGTGAACCCCACGTTCCCCAGGATCTTGCAATCTCCCCAAAACTCCCCAGCATCCAATGCTCATCCCAGCTCCCAGTCGGCCCCAGTCCTTCCAATACTTCCCCAGTGCAACCAGTCCCCATGGCAGTGCCCCAGTAACCCACCAGTATTCCAAGTCAACCCTTAGTCCTCCCAGTACCACCCAAGGGCAACCAGTCTCCATTCCAGCCCTCAATGAGCTCCAGTCCTCCCAGTAACCCCCCCAGGGCAATCTGACCCCCAGGTTCCCCTGTAATTCCCAGTCTAACCCTAAGGCCCCCACTCCAAGCACCCAGTCCCCATCCCAGCTCTTCCAGTAACCACCAGTCCCCCCAATAACCCTGGGTCCCTCAATAACCCCCAGTGCCTCCAGTACCCCAGTCCCCCAGTGACATCATGTGCCACCCACTATCCCCCATAAGCCTCCCAACAGACCCCAGTGCACCCCCAAAACAGCCAGTACACCCAGTGCCTAACCCAGTTTCTCCAGTAGCCCTCAGTTCCTGAAGAAACCCACATAATTCAATAGTCCTAGTACACCCAGCACCAGTGTTCCCAATGTTGCCAGTGCTCCCAGCAATCTCCAGTGCTCCCAGTGTTCTCACTGCCATCAGTGGTTCCAGTGGTTCCTGTGTCTCCAGTGCCCGCAGCAGTCCCAGTGGCCCAAGCACACCCCAGTGCCCCAAGTTGTCCCAGTCCTCCCAATGACCCCAGTACCCACAGTGCTCCCAGTGCCCCCAGTAGTCCCAATGTCCCTATAGTGGTCCTGGTACTCCCAGTAGTGCCTAGCACTCCCAGTATTCCCTGTGGCCCAAGAAGACCCCAGTGCCCCAAGATGACCAGTCTTCCCTGTGACCCCAGTGCCCTCAGTGTTCCCCATGTCCTCAGTGTTCCCCATGTCCTCAGTGAACCTAGTGCCCCCACAGTGGGACTGTGCCCCTAGCAGACTCCAGTGCCTCCAGTGCCCTCACAGACCCAGTGTCACCAGTGTTCCCTGTGCCCCAAGTGTGCTCAGTGGCCCCAGTGCTCCCAGTGCCACCACTGGGTCTGGTGCCCCCAGCAAATCCAGTGCACTCAGAGTGGTCCCAGTTCCCCTCAGGACTCCCAGTGCCCCCAGCAGACTCCAGTGTCAGAGTGGCTGTGATGACCTCAGTGCCCCCAGGAGCAGCTGTGGGTACAGTGCCCGCAGCCCAGCGCAGGACACGTGTCATCACCCCCTCAGCCTGGTCAGGGCTAATCCCAGGGTTTAGTGCCTTTTGCTGATAAGAGAAGGGCCACTGTCACCGTCACTGCCACCGTCACTGTCAGTGGCAGGGCACAGGGATGATTTGCCAGTTCTGTGGGGCCAGCCCCAGCTGTGTCCCTGCACCCTTCGCCCCCCTCCATCCATCCATCCATCCACCCATCCATCCATCCATCCATCCATCCATCCATCCATCCATCCATCCATCCATCCATGTATTCATGCATCTGTCCATCCCTCCATCCAACCTTCACCCATCACTGTATCCATGCATGCATCCACCTCTCCATTCATGTCCGTGCATCATCCATCTCTCCATCTCTCCATCATTCTTCCCTCCTCCATCCACCTCTGCACCTGTTCACACATCCATTCATTCTTCATCCATCCTCTTTCACCGCTCCCTCCCTCCCTCCTTCTCTCCATCCATCCATCCATCCATCCATCCATCCATCCATCCATCCATCCATCCATCCATCCATCCATCTATCCATCCTCCACATGTCCATCCAACTACCTATCAATGTCCTTCCCTGGGGAGAGCCAGGTGCTGATCCGGCTGTTTGGGCAGTTGGGCTGAGTAATACCCAGGGAATTTGGGGATAGACAGGGGGTGCATGGGTCAAGGCATGGCCAATGGTGACCGTGTCATGGTGACAGCTGAGGGAATACCTGGGTCAGGAGACAGGTGGGTCATGGCGAGGGTTGGGGGGATCCCAACYGGGCCCCATGGCTGCCCCTCCCATAGCATGAGCGGGAGGTGGCTGGGCCAGAGCCGGACCCTCGCCCTGAGTTCCTGCTGGTTCAGGACAGCCTGCGGAAGATGAAGCTGGCGGAGGCAGGCTGGCAGACATGAACAGAAGCCAGCCCCTTGGAGCTCCCCGAGCCCCCTGGCACACACTGGGCTGCCCTCATCCCCAATATACCCTGGTGCTGGGAACGGCACCCAGTGCTGCCATTTTGAGCGAACTTGTGGTCAGGGGTGAGTACTGGAGCCTTGGTGTCCCCGTGGAGCTGGTAAAGCTGGGGCAGTGCCAGGGACAGTGTGAGGGATGTGAGCAGCATTCTCCCCCTGGCCTGCACCTGCTCCAGCTCCATGAACCAGAAAACATCAAATAAAGACTTTTATCTGGTTTTCTTGATGGAAATAGCACAGACACATAGATGGGGTGGCGTTGCCTTGGGCTGATGGCGCATGGTGGGGACAGAGGTCACGATGGCCACACACGTAGCTGCATCTGGTGTCCACCCAGGCCTTCAGGCAAGCCCTGGTGGTACAGAGCCTTCCTCACTCCTGCAGTCTCTCTCTCCTTGCTCCTCTGTTTTCTCCTAGTGGTTTTTTTCCATTTCCACAGTTAAATGTTTTTCAGCCCTGCCCCTTGCAGCTGGAACACACTGGGAGGGAGGAAGAGACACTGGTTTGGGCAGGTCTCACACCAACAACCCCAGGCTGATGGCACTGCCCTGGGCACCGTGGGGGAAAACAGACCACTGTTATGGGGAGTCTACACCACTCAGCCTGCTCCCTGCATATTCCCCTGCCTGCACTCTGTCTGCTCCCTCTCACCCCATCCCTGGCCTGTCCCATCCCATGGGGATGAGCCTCTTTCCCAGTGTGCCTGGTGCAGCAATGCAGAATGTGCCCAATTCACCCCAGTACAGCTCAGAGGGGCCACAGTGTGAGTGCTTTGGCACCATCATTCCCACAGCCTGGGACAGCCTAAGCACCATCGTAGCACAATCATGGCACCATCCTGGCACTGCTGTCCTGACACCATCCTGGCATTGTCCCAGCAATGTTCTGTGACACTCCTGGCACTGTCCTGCTGTGCATAGCCAGGGCCAGGATGGGGACAGTGGTCCCACATGGCACCAGGGATGGAGCCTCCAGCCAGGCTGTGCCGAGCTGTGGTGGGCTGTGGTGCCACACCACCACATGCAGTGCTGTGCCAGGCCATGCTGTGACACATCCATACCGTTCCATGCCATGCTATGCCACACAGTTCCATCCYGCACCACACAGTTCCATGCCATGCTGTACCAGGCTGAACCACACAGTTCCATGCCACACTGTACCAGACTGAACCACACCAGACCATGCCATACCATACCATGTCAACACAAGCCATACCATGGTAAAACATCCCATCCCATGCCATATCATATAATGCCATGCTACACAGAGCTGTGCCATGCTGTATGTTCCTATGCCACCCACCCCATGCCATATAGTGCCAAGCTGTGCTGTGCCATGCAGTGCCATTCCATGCCATTCCGTGCCGTGTCCTGCTGTGCCCCGCCACACAGCGCCGTGCCGTGCCGTGCAGTGCAGCCGCTGGGGGCCGTCCCGCGGGGCGGGGCGGGGGCTGGGGCAGGTGTTGCTCACCTCGCTCTTCCCTCCGCTCAAGCCCAGACCCGTCCGTGCCCCGGCGCAGCAGAGCCGGCAGCGGCGGCGGGCCCAGGTAAGGGATTCTCACACCCCGCCGGGACCCCCGGGAACCCCGCCCTGCCTCTGGCCGCCCACTGCGACGTGGAGCGGGTTGGGGAAACTGAGGCACGGCGAGGTGACGGCGCTGGAAGAGCGGGGTGAGTCCCCTTCCCCCCGCTCCACTACCCCCCTTTCACTCCTTCCCGAAGAATTTGGGGGTCTTGGGGTGCTGGAGACTCCCTTTTCCCCTGCCGACGGCCGCTTCCACCCCAGGATCCGCCTCTAGCCCAGACGGAAAAGAAAGGAAGACTGGGAGAAGTGCTCAGAGAAACCAGTTGGGGGGGGGGGGGGGCGGCCACTCCCGCCGCACCCTGACCACCTTTGAACCCCTCGAGTTCGTCACCTTCCCCCCGCCCCGTGCTGTCCGCACCCTTTATTTATGGTAGGACCTACAAGAAAGCAAAGCAAACACGGCCTCGTCTCCCCGCCGTCGCTATCGAAACACGACTGGGGTGACATGAGGGGTTTTGGAGGCGCAGGGTGCGGAGCACCTAGTGGGGCAGCCCAGCTGGGCCGTGGGGAAGAGCTGTGTCCCGCTGTTACCCGCAGGGTCCCGGAGCGCCATGGGGGAGGCAAGTGACACGGACAGCGGGATCATGCTGCACTCGGGTGAGAAGGGGATGTTGGAAGTGAGGGAGGTTTTGGGGTGCCCCGGTCGCCCATGGGCGCTCTGATAGAGGTGTCCCCCCTTCCCAGTCACAAGAGCTGCTTGGGGAAATCTTTGGGAAAATGAAGGGGTGGAGGAATGGGGGGTTTCCCCTGGATTTGGGGAGGCACCCCAAGTGTGGCAGGGGATGCTCTGGACAGGATTTGACTCAGACAGGTTTGGCTTGGGATGGCTGAGTCAGGCTGAAACCTTCCTCTTGTGCTCCCCCCCCCGCCTTCAGCAGGGACGTCACATGTGTCCCAGGGGGGCTGGAGAACCCATGGGTGCTGCTAGGGGTATTTCATGCATACCTGGGGGAATTGGAGCACCCATGGGTACTGCTGGGGGGTGGTCACAGCTGCTTTTTCCTCCCCCTGTGGTGGAGGAAAACCAAGGCAGGGAGTCTGTGGGGTGGCGGTGGGGAGTGGTACCTGGATGCTCCCATCCCTCCCGACATCTGTGTGTCCATTCCAGGCCCCAACAGCCCGGTGTCCCCTCTGAAGGAGCGGGTACAGGCAGGGCGGCGGCAGCAGCAGGCGCTGGAGGCCCGGCTTGACAGTTGCATCCAGGAGCTGCGGCAGCTGTGCCTGCGTGAGGCGGTGAGCAGGGCACGAGGACCCTCTGCCTGCCCCCACATGCTGCCATGGCTCTGCTCAGCATCCCTGTGCTGTCCTCAGGAGCTGACAGGGACCCTGCCTTGCGAGTATCCCCTGAAAGCCGGTGAGAAGATCCCCAAGGTCCGTCGCAGGATTGGGGCTGCCTTCAAGCTGGATGAGATCATCGTTCTGCGTGGGATGGTGAGGGGCTCCCTGGGGGGATCGCAAAGGCAGTGAGCATCCCATCCCATCCCATCCCATCCCCATCCCCATCCCATCCCATCCC